TTTTTTTTTTTTTGGGGGGGGGGGGGAATGATCATTGTAATTTACTGACCGGCATTTTCTGTGCCTGGAAATAATATTGGGAAATTGAGGCCAGTTGAGCACCTAACAAAGAGTTTTTTCCATGAACATACTGTGGCAAAGGTTTGACTTAAAATAAATGTTGAATCACTTCACTGTGTCTATTTTCGAGGATTTTTCAAGTTTTAGTAATTTTCGTGTAATATTCGAAGCATGCAGTTTAAAAACATCTTGAATTTTATAGAAAATAATAGAACATGTGAGATTGCTGATTTTAAATTTAGAACTACAACAACTTATTAAAACTATCTGAGCTTACAACTGTACTATCATTGCCACAGATCCTTCATGGTCTTTATATCTTCCAATCCAAATGACATGTTTCTTCTGCAAATTTCCTAATTTATTTCTTTTGACTTATCCGGGTGGACTTGGATTCATGTTAATCTGTTTATGTTCTTATTTTCTTTTGCAGATAGTATTCCAAAGGGCAATTTATACACTCGAAGACAATATTCACGTGCCATTTGTTGTTTTTTAAACCCAACAGAGCAGTTTACTAGTCTGTATTACAATCATAATTTGCAGAAGCAAGACAATTTGCAAAGAGACTTCATTGTTAGATCTGAAATTGCTGGAGCTGGGTCTCATGATGCTTCACATTTGTTATTAGGTATATGTCGAAGAGCCTTAAGTCACTTCCGTTTTTCATTGTCAAGTTTACAAAGCTTATTTTTCCTTTTTTTCTTCCCCTTGTTTTGAACAGAACCTCAATTGGGCTCAAAAATTAGAGGGATTTGCTTTTATGCGATTACAGCTTTTACTTCAACTTTTCTATTTGTGTTGATGCTGGTGGTACATCCTTTCGTGCTCTTAGTGGATCGACACCGTAGAAAAGCTCATCATTTTGTTGCCAAAATGTGGGCACTGTTGACTGTGACTCCATTTTATAAGATTGAGATTGAGGGATTGGAGAATCTGCCCGCATCAGATACTCCAGCTGTTTATGTATCGAACCACCAGAGCTTTTTAGATATATATACTCTACTCACTCTTGGGAGAAGCTTCAAGTTCATTAGCAAAACCACAATTTTCCTCTTTCCTGTTGTTGGATGGGCCATGTTTTTGATGGGTCTTATTCCTTTAAAGCGCATGGACAGCCGAAGCCATATGGTATTTATTCCCTTCATTAATCTTTTCCCACTTCCCAGTGGATGCAGTTGTTAAAATACTAGCAATATTTTGTTATTATAATTGTCTTTTCCACCTTTTCTTCTTGGTGTATAATGGTCGTACTCTTAAGCTAAAATAATTCTGTCACTTTTATGAATACAGGAATGTCTTAAGCGATGCATGGCTCTTATCAACAAGGGAGGATCTGTATTTTTCTTCCCAGAGGGGACTCGGAGTAAAGATGGGAGATTAGGCGCTTTCAAGGTGAGATCTATATTTTGACCCCCAAAAAAAAGGTGAGATCTATATCAGGGTTGTGTTGGGATGCACTGCTCAAATAAAGGCATGAAAAAGAGTTAAATACAAACCTATCGTTTGCTTTTGTTGCGAAGAGAAATTGACGAGAGAGGAAAGAAGTCTTACTCTTCCACCATAACAACACGTGGAGCATATGTTTAAAGTTTACTCATATCACAACTTAACCATAGAGCCATTCAACACTGCATACTATAATTTTTAACAGTTTGGTGGACTATATAGGTGTAGTGGATCAGGGCCAAGAAAATAGGAACATTTAGTGGTGTATATACATTTTGAGAAGAAATCTCTTTGCTAAAATATGCTCCATTCTTCTAAGTTCTCTCTTTTTCCTTTTCCATTCTGTGTTTCTTTCTTGTTAATGGCAATGTTCTAATCATGGGAAACTTGGAGATATTCATAGGACCCAACTTCTTCTCTAAAGTGTATCATCTTGTTCTGTGGTGATTTGTAGAAAGGTGCATTCAGTGTTGCTGCAAAAACTGGAGTGCCAGTTGTCCCAATTACTCTTATTGGAACTGGAAAAATCATGCCTCCGGGAATGGAAGGTAGATTAAATCCAGGAGCTGTAAAAGTCATCATTCACCAGCCTATAGAAGGAAATAATCCAGATGTGCTGTGCAGTGAGGCTAGAAACATAATTGCAGATGTTCTCAGTTGCCAAGGCTAGGGGATTTACTGCAACAAATTCTGTTGTTTCGTCCAAATATAGAAATCCTTTTGGGAATGGAGCAATATAAGCTGAGAGGTATGAATTTGTTCGCTTGCTTTCTCATTGCATAGAAGTTGCATTGCTGTCACACTGCACTATGACTTAGTTTGTAAATGTAGGCTTAGTTTTTGTTAATTATTTTATTATTTTTTGAATAATTGAGTTATGCACTGGTTTGCCATGTCTCATTATAACCATTTTCAGGCTTTTTCTTATTTGGCTGTTTCACCAATTTAAGAAACTTGAAACTTGTCTAATTAAACACTGATTGACAATTATAGTATAACAATATCACAAGAACAGCAACAGCATCGATTATATTTTAGGTAAAGTGAAGGAACAACCAAGGTGATAAATTGCTGTAAAGACACTTATTATAGATACATTTAATGCTGTTGAGCTGGTAAGGTTGGTGACCCAGTTGATCTGGTCAATGTGATTTTTTTCCGTGGTCTGATGCAAAATCATATTATACCATCAAAGAAACAAATTCTCTCTATTTCCCCGCCATTTTTAGACTTTATAACTTTTTGTCTATTCACAATGTCGATGTTACTGGCAATTGCAAGATAAGAACACACATGTTTTCCCCTTTTCTGTTTGTTGGTGGCAAAGATTGTCAACTCAGTCTGTGTCACTGGTTGTGGCTGTTTTGTTGCCGACTTCTTGGGTTTTTTTTGTAAAGGACACAGTTCAATTTCCTGTTTCATTGATCTTATCTTCTTCCTTTTCTTCTTATTGTTGCTTGATTCTGGTTTCTTTACCTTTCTGCGACCACTACTATTCTTGCTGCTATTTCTCTTCATTTATGTAATTATTTTTTAAGGGACTCTTTTATCCGTGAGAACCGGTTACATCCGTCCCATGTTTTGCCCAGAATCTTGTTTATGTTTGTTTGAGATATCTTTCTCATGTGAACCTGAACCATCACATAATTTGCATCTTTCTAGCTCTTTTAATGCACTCCTACTCTCTACCAAGAAGTGGAAATTTGATGTTTACAAGAAGCCAAATAGTTGAAATTGTGTTAGTTGCCTAAATACTCAAATTTTCTGTTTGGATATGGAATTTAATTAGTTGCTTAAATACCCGAATATCTGCTTGATCTATCTTCTGTTGTGGCGTATTGTACACGTGTCAAGTTGTATACATGCTTATTTAGAGATATATACTGTGTTTCTTGCTTATGATTGGCTCTCTAACCATTTCATGATGTTGTACCCTTCTTACTAAGTTCATGTTTTAACTTGTGATATTTCTCGCTCTCTCAGATTTTATTGGATTTCAGTAGTTTACTTGAAGCAACCGGTTCAAGCCTTGTTCGAATCTGCATGTGGATGTTATGAGCTGTTGGCTTGCACCAAAAAGTTAAAGCTTTGCAAAGATAGTCTTTTGTGTTAAATTTCTGTAATCCTCTACTACCAGAAGTGGCTGCTGGCCTACTCTCCTAGTTCTGTGTAGGCATGGCTCCGTCCCTGTTACTAAAAGTAAGTTACTGAATAGACAATTGTCTCCCCCTTCAACGACATTACCTAAACCAAAAAACACAGGAAATTTTATTGGTTATAACAATTTGATCTAAATGGATTGTGATACTTTCCGTTACACTTTTGCTCATGATAGATCGTGTGCCATAAATTCAAGTGAGACTCACTATATCAAATGACACCCTTAAGGGATACACGGTGGATGATCTACCATTGAATGAAATTGTAATAAATAAGATCTAGCCCTTGTCTAAATTCATTATTTTTTTTGAAAGGAACTTTCTGGATAATTTATTTAGATTTTATAAATAAAAAAAAAATTGGTCAAGCCCAAAATTGTAGAAATTTAGAAATTTTCATTCAATCAGAAATTTTCAAGCCCAAAATTTAGAAATTGTAGTAATGGTAGAAATTGTAGAAATTTTCCAAGTCAAACCAAATTGTAGAAATTGTAGTAATGATGGGTCACGACTGTCGAATGAAGTCAATTATATGGTTTAGCATTTGGTAGTTCGGAATTTTGGTCTTTGGAATGTAGATGATACTATTTGTTTAAGATTAGGTTACGGCAAAAAAGAATTCAAAATAAAAAACGTGGCATGTGGCATATGGCACATGGCACAATGAATAAAAAATAAAAATACAATACCAAAAAGTTACCGGACCCGTATATTTATCCCCACCTTGCACATGTAGATGGACGGAGCTATTTGAAGGGGTTATGGCTTCTCAAAAAGGAGTGAACTTCGTAATGGTATTTTGTGTTATGTCAATTCACATTATCAGAGCTTACATGAGTAGAAAGATAAACGGATTGCCTTTTCTTTTTTTCTCTTTGCACCATCGAACGGTTATTTTCTAACGTTTTCACCATTATAGAATTTGGTTATAATTTTAAGTGGTAATAGGGATGAGTCAAAATTCAGACGTTTTGATTTTGAATTTTAATAATTTCTTGGGTCGGATTGTAAGGAATTTATCCCTCATAAATTTCAATGGCCTGCTTTTGACCAAATTGAAGAGGGAATTAGTCGCAGTTAGCATAAGCTAGTTCAAACATCTCTAACTATTGAATTAAAAAAAAAAAATTTGGTTATGATCAACTCTACAATCTGTTGTTAGAATCAATAGACATCCCAATCCTTCACTTGAAATAATTGAAACTTTTTANTTAGCATAAGCTAGTTCAAACATCTCTAACTATTGAATTAAAAAAAAAAAAATTGGTTATGATCAACTCTACAATCAGTTGTTAGAATCAATAGACATCCCAATCCTTCACTTGAAATAATTGAAACTTTTTAAGTATGATCGTGATATTTTCAAAACATTGAAATTCTTAAATAATGATGGGACGGTATAACCATAGTGTGTTCAATAGGATCACAAAGTTGATGATTAACTCATTCCGCACTAGAAATAATTTTAGGAAAAATCCTTTCAAAATGCAAATTCCTTGTTTCATCCCTTTTTTTGGTCAATACACGTTATGTCGTGCATTGTTACTTATAATTCAAAATTTATTAAATTTTTGAACCTCTACTAGGGTTTGCTTCTCTCGTAGGTTTAGAGTCCGGTAATTACCCCTTAGTCTGAGAAACTTGTTCCTTAGTTTCATCTTTGGGTTTCAGTCAAAGAATGAATATATTAGACTCCTATGTTATTTATGAGTTGATGATCAAGCTTAAGAGATAATAGACATAACAACCTGAATACTAAAATTATCATACATTGAAATTGTTAGCAGCTAAAGATGAGACAATGAATGACATATTACCCAATGAAAAGAATCAACCCTCAACTAAGAATCATAAGAAGTAGTACTAGTCGAGGGATCGATAGAAATCTATATGTGTAGAGAATCCCACTTTTTGAGACAATAGGAAAGCAATTAACATAGTCAAGATCGTAGTTTAGGAATGCAAGTTTAATTTTGTAAAAATTAGAACCAAGTATAATATTTTCCCAAAATAGATTATGGGAGCTCCAAATTGTTCTCCCTGTTTGGATACAAGGCTCCCATGTGTACTGGAGCACCTGTGTGCTAAATTGCCACTGATGTTCTCATCCCGATACTTCAAAAGAGAAGAATGAAATGCTTAAAAAGCAAAAGGACGAAACCATGAACGAACCACTACCTTCACTGGGACTAATTTACGCATTATAAATTTCAATACAAAAATTCCTTTCATCACTTATAAAACAGGTTGGAATCAACGACAAGAAATTGCCTGAGAAAATCCTCCCAAATGTCACAATACAGAACTTAGAAATTCAAAAAAAAAAAAAAAAAAAAATGAGGAACAAGCCATTTCTATGGTTAAAGATTTAGAACTTAAACCAAGCAGTGAGTCTAGATGTAAAATGGGTAGCTTACATTTACCACTTAGTCAATCTTCACGGACGAGTAGATAAGCCTCGTGAACCAGAAACATGCGTAGAAGCCAATGGTACCAGTGAGCACGAAGAAAGCATACGAGGCAATCAACATGTACCCAAAGTACAAAATGCCAGACACGGGTTTTGTGATCTCGAGCTTTGTGAAGAAATAGAATGCTGCATAGAGGAAGAGATATAGTGCTGAGGACCCTGAAGTAAGGTATGACCTCCACCACCAAAGGTAGTCCTCACTGCACAGCTGGAAATAACAGAGCACAATTGTGATCTCGGCACAAGTGACAATTAGGATGACAAAAACAATGAACAGGAAACCGAAAATGTAGTAGAACTGATTCAACCAGATCGAGGTGAGGATGAAGAAGAGCTCAATAAAAACAGCACCGAACGGCAGTATGCCTCCAATCAGGATAGAGAATACCGGATTCATGTACCAGGCTTGTTCAGGTATTTGCCTTGGAATCTTATTAGTTTTCACAGGATCCTCAATCGCTGCCTTCTTAAACCCAATATAACTACCAAACCAAACAAGTGGAACAGAGATGCAAAACCACATGACTACCAACAAGAACATGGTTCCAAATGGCACTGCCCCTGAAGATTTCTCACCCCAAATAAGAGCATTCAATACAAAGAAAATCGCAAAGATGATTCCCGGAAATGTAAAAGCCGTGCGGAGAAATATTTTCTTCCACTCTGTTCCCTTGAACATCTTGTAGAGACGGGCCGAGGCGTACCCAGCAAACAGGCCCATGAAGACCCAAAGTAAAAGCATGGCAGTCATTAACCCCCCTCGGTTTGAAGGGGAGAGGAATCCAAGGACCGCAAACATCATGGTGACTAGTGTCATTCCTAAAAACTGAACACCTGTCCCAACGTAAACACAGAGCAAATCTGAATTTGTTGGAGGCCTAAAAACATCCCCATGAACGAGTTTCCATCCTGTCTCTTCTTGAGCTTCTTCCTGAGTCTCTAACTGGTTGTACTGCGAGATGTCACGGTAAAGTGTCCGCAGCATAATCATTGCGACCATGCCAGAAAGGAAGAGAACAATCATCAGAGAATTGACAATCGAGAACCAGTGAATTTGATCATCAGCCATCAGAAGATAGGTATCCCATCTAGATGCCCACTTGACTTCGCTCTCCTGCAGGTTGGAGGAAGGAGCAAGAGATTGCAAAACAACATCATGGCACTACTTCAAAAATAAATGACCTACAATGTCTCTATTATAAAATACAAGGCATTACCTGGAACTCAACATCATAAGAAAAGATAACTTCCTCCTTATCTTTGACCTCTTGGGGAGAGTCGTTGTTGGTAACAGTGCGTTTTGCATGGGGATCACATGTTGTAAGGCGGACCTTGTCATTCCAGCTGCCTTCATACTCATGTTTAACACTAGAAATACAAGAATATAACAACATTAGCAATAGGCATGAAATACATTTTGGTCAATCAAGTATAAACTAGAATGATGTACAACCTGAATGGTTTGACTTCAAATCCTACAATCCTTGCAGATTCAGTCTGTGCGTCCTTGTGAAACTTAACCGTGAATGTTAAGTGGTTGTGGATAAAATACTTCTCATCCTTGCTCTGTAAATAATTGAATCAAATAAATATTACTTCCATAGCAATGTCACAACATTCACAAAATTGCAACGCCCATGCTACGTGACTTGATACTTACTCCAGCATACTGTCCTTTAAGACCAACGAAAAAGCCATGCTGATATACAATGGAATTCTGATCAGTTCTTTGGATGGGCCTAACCAGAGGAAGATTATCCAAAATCCTGTTTAACACAGCATGAAACATTAACGATTCTACTGTGTTGTAGTATTCACCACAAGGATTCTCTGTAATTCAAATGACAATCCCAAAAAAAGTGACTCACATGTTCACCCGGTACTCATCATCTATCTTTTCCTTAAATTCCTTTGCAGTTTTCGCATTCAGTGTCATATGACATACAATGTTGCACATTTTTGGTTCTCGCATTTGAAACTGTAACAAACAACATACGTAAGATAGAAGCATCCAAATATGGTAAAAGCCACAGCATTAGAGAATCTAAGTAATAGCTGACCTCATAAGGTGAGTTCTCAATACGATCTCCCCGAAGAACTTCCCCAAGATTCTCTGCACTGTCCACAATTTTTTCTGGCTTACAGTAGGGAAGGGAATAGTAGGAATAGGGTAATTGTGTTTTTGTAGAGGTTAATTTGTTAACTTTGACTTTCAGAAGACTCCCCTGCACCAAATAAAAAAACGACTGTAGCCTTCAAAAAGGAAAGAAGAACACATTATAATTTATTAGAAAATCTGATTTTGTTTCGTGATCACCGGTACAAGTCAAAAGAGGAGTGTAAAACAGAAAAGAAAAATAATAGGGTGTGAAAAACAAACCCAAGGAACGAAAACAACATATAGGGGACTAAATTTAATGAATATGACATGATACACCCATAAACATCCTGCAAGCTTGCAGATTGTGAGATTTCCACAGTGGACAAACTAAGTTTCACAGAATCACAAAGCAAAAATTGCTGGTTCAACTACATTTTCACCACTATAATCATGCAGATTTTCACCCTATAACTTTTTCATTTTGATGCAGCGAAAGACTTATATTTTTATTAAATACTACAAAAGACTAGCAATCAGATTACTGACAGGATCCAGAGAGCTGGAGCTACAAGGAACCAAGATTAAACTCAACACCCAAAATTTAAGGTGATTCGCCATGACAACAATAACATGTTACAGAGGAAAATACATCGGCAGAAAAATGTAGGGCATGTTGAATGGACCTACTAAACTCAAAAAGTACAAAAGCAGATGTCATTCAATACTCCAAAGAAACAAACAATAAATTAAGATTTTCAATGAACCCTTTCTAATATACCAGACATACAAGCAGATAGACTATAAATTGCAAAATAAATGCTGGAGATNCAATGTTGCACATTTTTGGTTCTCGCATTTGAAACTGCAACAAACAACATACGTAAGATAGACGCATCCAAATATGGTAAAAGCCACAGCATTAGAGAATCTAAGTAATAGCTGACCTCATANGAAAGAGAGTTGACTTCCCCCCTCGCATATAAACCCTTGCCCTCAAAGGAGGAGGTACCCACTAGCGACCTGATCAGGTGCCTATTGGGTACCTCCTCCTTTGAGTGCAAGGGCTTATNTCATAAGGTGAGTTCTCAATACGATCTCCCCGAAGAACTTCCCCAAGATTCTCTGCACTGTCCACAATTTTTTCTGGCTTACAGTAGGGAAGGGAATAGTAGGAATAGGGTAATTGTGTTTTTGTAGAGGTTAATTTGTTAACTTTGACTTTCAGAAGACTCCCCTGCACCAAATAAAAAAACGACTGTAGCCTTCAAAAAGGAAAGAAGAACACATTATAATTTATTAGAAAATCTGATTTTGTTTCGTGATCACCGGTACAAGTCAAAAGAGGAGTGTAAAACAGAAAAGAAAAATAATAGGGTGTGAAAAACAAACCCAAGGAACGAAAACAACATATAGGGGACTAAATTTAATGAATATGACATGATACACCCATAAACATCCTGCAAGCTTGCAGATTGTGAGATTTCCACAGTGGACAAACTAAGTTTCACAGAATCACAAAGCAAAAATTGCTGGTTCAACTACATTTTCACCACTATAATCATGCAGATTTTCACCCTATAACTTTTTCATTTTGATGCAGCGAAAGACTTATATTTTTATTAAATACTACAAAAGACTAGCAATCAGATTACTGACAGGATCCAGAGAGCTGGAGCTACAAGGAACCAAGATTAAACTCAACACCCAAAATTTAAGGTGATTCGCCATGACAACAATAACATGTTACAGAGGAAAATACATCGGCAGAAAAATGTAGGGCATGTTGAATGGACCTACTAAACTCAAAAAGTACAAAAGCAGATGTCATTCAATACTCCAAAGAAACAAACAATAAATTAAGATTTTCAATGAACCCTTTCTAATATACCAGACATACAAGCAGATAGACTATAAATTGCAAAATAAATGCTGGAGATATTTAAAACACTCAACATGAGGCAGATGCTCCAAGCCTCTATTTCAAAGAAATTTATATTCCCACTACCTCTAATGTGAGTTGAGATTGTGCAACAAAACTAGGCAGGCTGTAACTCAAGAATAAAAACTCGCAATTTCTTTCAAGAAGACGATTTTCAAAGGGCAAGATTCCAGATTATCTCAAAATGTGAAAAAAAAGATTTTCCTTCATACCAATCCATATAAAAAACTAATAGAACAAGCTCCACTGATGACGATCCTTTGGGCAAACATTGGGGAAGGGTAATAAAATTACAAGAGTATTTGTCCTGGAAAGTAACCCATGCTTTCTCCAAACAATAAATGGCAGTTTCTAGTAGATAATATCTTCCATAGATGTTCCACACCTGTCCCCAACACAATACAGTATAAGGTTCCCAGATGATTTCCAGACATTAAAAACAATAGTCCCCTATGTGGCAAAATCGTGAAGTGCTGATTACTAGGTAATTTCCCAAACAATTTAAATCAACCAGCTGAACAAGAATTGGATACTTTAATCCATCAATACATATACTATCTATTGACCTCTCGATCCCATTTCTAGCCCCCTCCAACTATTAAACACAAGTGTCCAACAACCCACTTGAATCAACTCAATAATTAAAAATGATCACACCCAGTACATGCAAGGCCCGATGTACACAACAATATTCAATCCCCAGTTTCTATCATCTCAACATCATTAGTAGCACAAAAATCGTGCTAATTGTAAGGGGTAGAAATCGCTACGGATCTCATCCCTCCACTTGAAGGATTCCGGCTGACCTGGTGGCACCGAGCCCCAGTAGCCTTTACCTCTCTTCGCCAATAAGACCCTTTCCTAAGGCAATCCCACATCGAAAGAGAGTTGACTTCCCCCCTCGCATATAAACCCTTGCCCTCAAAGGAGGAGGTACCCACTAGCGACCTGATCAGGTGCCTATTGGGTACCTCCTCCTTTGAGTGCAAGGGCTTATATGCGAGGAGAGAAGACAACTCTCTTCCGATGTGGGATTGCTTTAAGAAAGGGTCCTATTGGCAAAAAGAGGTAAAGGCTACTGGGGCTCGGTGCTACCAGGTCAGCCGGATCCTTCAAGTGGAGGGATGAGATCCGTAGCGATTTCTACGCCTTACACTAATAACATGCAATAAAGATCTAAATATTACCATACGCATTCATATACACATATGAACAAGCACATATAGCTAGTAGTAAATCGTCATTTGTACCTGACCTTGTAATTATAAGACAAAAATAATCAGTAGACAGCAATATATGGATCTCAACGCACAGAAACAGTAAAGAAAANAATATTGGGTGTGAAAAACAAACCCAAGGAACGAAAACAACATATAGGGGACTAAATTTAATGAATATGACATGATACACCCATANGGATTATTTACGAACTAATTCCGAGACTTTATTAAATTTCACACCCTACGAGTCAAAATTGGCACAGATCTGATATAAAGAAAAAAAAGCCACTAACCAACAAAATTACATAGAAACTATAGAGAGAAACGAGGTCNATGAATATGACATGATACACCCATAAACATCCTGCAAGCTTGCAGATTGTGAGATTTCCACAGTGGACAAACTAAGTTTCACAGAATCACAAAGCAAAAATTGCTGGTTCAACTACATTTTCACCACTATAATCATGCAGATTTTCACCCTATAACTTTTTCATTTTGATGCAGCGAAAGACTTATATTTTTATTNGACAATCCCACATCGAAAGAGAGTTGTCTTCCCCCCTCGCATATAAACCCTTGCCCTCAAAGGAGGAGGTACCCACTAGCGACNTATTTTTATTAAATACTACAAAAGACTAGCAATCAGATTACTGACAGGATCCAGATAGCTGGAGCTACAAGGAACCAAGATTAAACTCAACACCCAAAATTTAAGGTGATTCCCCATGACAACAATAACATGTTACAGAGGAAAATACATCGGCAGAAAAATGTAGGGCATGTTGAATGGACCTACTNCGACTCTCTTCCGATATGGGATTGCTTTAGGAAAGGGTCCTATTGGCAAAGAGAGGTAAAGGCTACTGGGGCTCGGTGCTGCCAGGTCAGCCGGAATCCTTCGTGAAGGGATGAGATCCGTAGCGATTTCTACCCCTTACACTAATAACATGCAATAAAGATCTAAATATTACCATACGCATTCATATACACATATGAACAAGCACATATAGCTAGTAGTAAATCGTCATTTGTACCTGACCTTGTAATTATAAGACAAAAATAATCAGTAGACAGCAATATATGGATCTCAACGCACAGAAACAGTAAAGAAAAATGAATTATTTACGAACTAATTCCGAGACTTTATTAAATTTCACACCCTACGAGTCAAAATTGGCACAGATCTGATATAAACAAAAAAAAGCCACTAACCAACAAAATTACATAGAAACTATAGAGAGAAACGAGGTCAACCCACCAAAACTAGAAGATCTATCAATTCCAAAAAACACAAACACACGCACACATAGCTTACCGTTTGGAAATCTTCCGGTGCAACACCGGGGAGGTAGAAGCAGGATCCATGGGTGAAGAGAAGAAGAGATACAGAGATCCACAGTAGAAATGATACGAGAGGCCTTCCAACCTCCATGGCTTACACTAATCCAAGATCTGGATCCACTCTCTACCCCTCTCTCTCTCTCTAAAACTCTCTCTCTCTCTCTCTCTCTCTCTCTCTCTCTCTGAGAGACGGGGAGCGCTGAAATGTGTATGTAACTCGATCTTGACTATCAGATATAAATTTAGGAGTTAGTTAATTAAACGTCCAAGTTAATAAATATCATTTAATTCGTGCGTCCACCATAAAATTTTCTATGAAGAATATGATATATATATATATATAATAAAGTAGTTTATAATTCAAATCTCAAAAAATAAATAAAATAATTTTTTATATTTGCGGTTGAGATCGTTTTAAATTTTACTTTAAAATTAATCTAACAACTAATACTAACACTCTAAATTTAATAGGAAAAATAGGAGGTTAAAGGTGTGTTTGGAGTGACTTTTTAAAAGTACTTTTAAAAATTATTTCTCATAAATACTTTAAAAAAAATAGTGTTGAAACCGCACCACCACTACCTCCACCACCACCACCACTACAGTCACCATCGTCGTCGCCACCACTATCACCACCACCACCACTGCCACCACCACCATCACCATCGTCGTCGTCGTCGCTGCCACTACTATCACCACCACTACCACCGCCGCCACCCTCACCATCCCCACCGCCATCGCCACCATCGTTGTCGCCACCACCACCCCTATCATCGTTGTCGCCGTTATCGTTGCCACCACCACCGTTGCCGTAGCCATCACCACCACCATCGTCGTCGTCGCCACCACTACCACCACAGTCATTGACACATTACCACAACAATCACCATCTCCTACCAACACTACTGTCACCCACCACTTCTTACCTTCACTACAAACTGATACTTAAATTTATTTATTTCTTCTCTATGTTTGTGATTTGATTTTGGATATGAATATAAATATGTTTATTGTTTACTATTTTTTATTACTCTGTATCTTCAGACACATGCAATAACTAGTCTATATAATAAAATAGCTTACAATTCAAATCTCAAAAGATAAACAANGCCATCGCCACCATCGTTGTCGCCACCACCACCCCTACCATCGTTGTCGCCGCCATCGTTGCCACCACCACCGTTGCCGTAGCCATCACCACCACCATCGTCGCCGTCGCCACCACTACGGCCACAGTCATTGACACATTACCACAACAATCACCATCTCCTACCACCACTACTGCCACCCACCATTTCTCACATTCACTACAAACTGATACTTAAATTTATTTATTTCTTCTCTATGTTTGTAATTTGATTTTGGATATGAATACAAATATGTTTATTGTTTACTATTTTTTATTACTCTGTGTCTTCAGGCACATGCAATAACTAGTCTATATAATAAAATAGCTTACAATTCAAATCTCAAAAGATAAACAAAATGACTTTTGCTATTTGCGGTTGAGATCGTTTTAAATTTTACTTTAAAGTTAATCTAATGACTAATATTAACACCATAAATTTAATAGGAAAAATATGTCCTTAAGGGTGTATTTCGAGTGACTTTTTAAAAATACTTTTAAAAATTATTTCTCATAAATAATTTTAAAAAATAATAATATTTGAAAACGTCCCACCACTACCTCTACCACCACCGTTGTCGCCGCCGCCGCCACCACCACCACGGTCATTGTCATCCACCACAACCATCACTGTCTCCTACCACTACCACTGTCGCTCACCATTTCTCACCCCCACTATAAACCGATGCTTAAATTCATTTGTCTGTTCTCTATATTTATAATTTAATTTTGGATATGAACACAAATATATTTATTGTTTACTATTTTTAATTAATTTGTGTCTTCAGGCACAGACAATAACTAATCTATATAATAAAATAGCTTACAATTCAAATTTCAAAAGATAAACAAAATGACTTTTGTTATTCGCGGTTGAGATCGCTTTAAATTTTACTTTAAAATTAATCTAATGACTAATATTAACACCCTAAATTTAATAGGAAAAATGGACCTATAAAGGTGTGTTTGAAGTGACTTTTTAAAAATACTTTAAAAAAAAATAGTATTTGAAATCGCCGTACCACTACCTCTACCACCGCCACCGCCACCGCCACCGCCATCGTCGTTGCCGTCGCCGCTACCACCACCACCATCTCCATGCCCACCACCACAACCCCCACCACTACCACCACCACCACCACCATCGCCACCATTGCCACCACCACAAACCTCCATCACCGTCACCCCCACCGCTTCCACCACCACCACCGCCACTATTACCATCGTCGTCACTGCCACCACCATCATTGTCGTTGCCGCCACCACCACAATCATTATCACACACCACAACCATCATCGTCTTCTACCACTACCACTGTCGCCCATAACCTCTCACTCCCACTACAAACCGATACTTAAATTTTTTTATCTCTTCTTTATGTTTGTGATTTAATTTTAGATATGAATAAAAATATATGTATTGTTTACCATTATTTATTACTATGTGCCTTTAGGCACAAGTAATAACTAGTATATATATATTTCTTGTAACACACAGCTTAATTGAGTTTTCTTTTACGTCATTTAGAAAACTATGTTGACTCTCGAAATTGAGGTAAAATAAATTAGGTGAATTACGATTATTTATTTTAAACACTAATTCAAAAATAAATATTATATGTTAATATGGATAATAAACGGGTCAATTTGATATCTGACACAAATAATTTAATTTTTGTTACAATAAATTTGTCTATCTTATTTTGTGTGAATAAATAATATTTGTTTTTATTTCTTTTGGTCCTATGTTAGTGGTTCCAAGTTATGACCCCGGGGGTGGGGGAACCGAACTACGATATAAAAATAAATAATTTGGACTAATGTCAAAAGATTTGACATGATTAACTTAGAAGGATTAGAGTAGCATAGATTAGTATTAACACAAAAATTTAAAATGGATAATATTAACAGGAATCTAAAATTGTACGGTCTAAGTTGAATCGGGATGATTGGATTATCATCCTTAAAAATGACATATTAATGGATTTATTCAAATAGTAAGAAGGACTATATATATATATATATATATATATATATATATATA